TATTTCCAGATCTCGATAAAGAACAAACAGGAAATAGGATGTTGAGATATGGGAAGGAATGCGATATGTACATAGCAGACGTGATTAAGGTTACAATTTTTGTTGTTTCTGAATTAAAATATTTAACACCGTTTTCTCCTCATTTTAATAAGCTAAACATGTTTAATACTTGGCTTAATAAGCAGATATCCGCCAGAATTTCTTCACTGGGTTATCGTTCTCTGTTAATCATATACTGCCTGATATAACAATCCATGTGTCGTGTATCTTCGAAACACTTACAGGTTTAAACTACATATATACATAATTGTACCGATACGACTTTTTAGATTGAAAATATTGATATTTTCTGGTTCGCAAAAGCCTGTGGTATGGATAGGTCCCGACAGAAGACTTTTCACTCCAGTAAAAAAATTTGAACCAAAAATTGTTTTTGACAGGTAAACACATTAGTGGAAAGGGAGTTTTTTAATGGCATACACGGACCAGATGTGTTTCTCATTACACAGCGGTAGTGGTCAAGCAGGATAATAATGAAAGGTAACGAGATGACCACAGGCACTGTCTGGTCACCACAGGAAAGATAACATTGATATAAGGGTTGAGAATTGATGTCGACAATACCATCAGAACGCTTGCAGGTTCTCTGCAATTTCTCTCCATAATTAAATCACTACCCGTCGAGCTTCGGCCATTGACTACGTCTACGGACAGCAAAGTCCAGTAGCTCGTCATGACATTGCATCTTTCACAAATGACCAGCAAAAAAATCTGAAAAATGACCGAAGGCAGTTTTGGTCAACACAAAATGTTCTTTTATAATTTATGGTTGTCCGAGAAAGTCAGAGTTGTCCAGTTAGTGACTAGATGTCATTAGTCCTGGACATTTGAGAATGTAAACGTATCGGGGCTTATCCTCTCTGTCACAGAGGTGTGGGAGTGTGAAGCTTCAGGACAGATTACCCAGAATTCCGTAACAGGGAACAAACAACTACAGAAGACCGGGCACGGGGCTGACACTTCCCGAAACATAAAATATGTCAACAGCATGATTTACATTCGTTGCGTGTGAACGACATGTATGGTGGATTCGGGAAAACACACTCTAATTATCTTCTGACGTTTTTCACCTGGTACAGTGAAATTACATGGACGGATGAAGGGGATAAACAAAAGTGTAAATAAAATACTTAATGTGTGTAACACCAAAAATCACAAGCCGTTCTGGCATGTTTATGCTTGCTTGACATGATTGATAGATCGAGGGAAAGACGGAAGAAAGGTTGGGCGGTAAAATATGTCACAAAACGTTTTAAAGTACACGCAAGTTTCAACAAATTCAGAAATCAGTAAACCTACATTTTAAAACAAACAGCATATACACGAAATGTAAACAATTTAAAGACATTTAAGGAGATTCCAACAGTCCGACCACAAATCGGGTTCAGAGTACTAGAATGTCCCGTGCAAATCTATACTATATTCTGTGACACAATGCCGTGCATATTTGACCTAAATAACCTACAGATGATCTCGTGTAAACTTTGAAATTACGGGTCAGAAAAGACAAAATGCTCGTAAAACATGTAATTAACGAGTATACCTTACAGGGTGGTGGTGGCTACCGTTTCGTGAGGATATCGAGGCGACAGTATACAACGGTCAAACATACGTACACCGTAACATCTTATAACCTTGAAGGTTTGCTGGGGACATTTAAAAATAATCTACAATTACGCATTCTGTCAAAGGGAGACAGAAGCACTTGTCAACGCATTAGAGAATCCTTTATAAATAGATATACTTTAAGATTCATGTGTGTGTTCGAAAAATTTAGCCCCAGTCAAAATACTTCCCAAAAGAATTCTTCGCCTTGCTATGTCAATATTAATAGCATCTTTATTGCTTAATAGGACTTTTAAAAGCATAATTACACAGGGGCGGTAATAAAGAGGGATGAAGGCTGATCCTGGGTAGCCAAGACTTAAGAGGAGCTCAAACAGATCTAAGTCACCCTGATCTATTGCCACACTTTGTAGGCGACATGTACAATAGACGTATCACTGACGGGATCGGTAGGACAGGTCGGCCAGCACTCTCGCTGTTGTCCTTTATCTAGAGTTCCGTACTATCGCTATCCAGACCAACATTTAGACCATGTAGCAATGTCTCGTTAGCTTGTTAAAATCATTTCACTTCAAATGTAAACTGCATTTTTAAAAATATTATCCCGACATTAAATATTTGTCTGTTCTAAGTTTTATAGCAATTGCGTTGAATCCAAACATAAGCCTTTTTATATCAAAATTAATTAATCAATTTTAAAGAGTTTCGTAGGAGAACGAATTCATTTAAACCGTCTTAAGTTTATCATACTTCGAACAAGAGTATACGAATCGTTGGTCTATGAGGCAGATTGGCGGAGACCATTTGTTCAGAAGTACAAACATGGCAATCAAGGTATTTCAGTCCTTAGTTTTGGTGTGTCCACTACAACCCATTAATGGAGGTGACCGCAGCACAGTCTCTAGCCAGCTGGCTGGGAGCCAGTTGCAACAGGGCTTGACCAAATTTTCTGTTGACTTATATCTCCATCGGTAAATCAAAACACTCCGTAATACATATTTTAGATAGTGATAAACGCGAAATCCGATACAATTTCAAGCCAAACTAATATCACTATTATTATTTTACTTTTACAAAATTTTCTTTTTATCTTCCGACTAGCAAAACCTGTGATAGCTTCTTTATTGCTCGTCTATGTCAAGAATGGTTTGGAAATTTGACGACGAGTGACATTTAGAGCGTAATGTTTATTTAGGTGTTTCTACAAGGAGATATTCGCTACAGTCATAAAATACTGCGATGTTGCAGTTACTGCATTCAGCGTATATGTAAACAATTGCGTTTTAACTGTTGATTTTACGAGAAAAGTGAAGTCATTCATCAGAAGTCTTTGCTGGAGTGATGAAGTTATGTATATCATATCTGGTATATTAGTAATTTTTGTCATATCAAAGTATCTAATCGCGCTATTTGAGTGAAACAGGTGATATTACTTTTATATTTCGGCCAAATTACCTTCACATGTTCCGTAATGTGATCGTACAGAACCCGACACTACGAAATCGACCCCGTTCTGTATGTGTACCCTGTCATAATAATTCAGTAAACTGGCCAATTATCATCAGCTGAACATGCTCATTCAGGGATGACACTCTTCCTTCTGTGAATACGGATGGCCTAGTTACATATATAGTTGATGTTAACCTAACCGTGTTCCGTTTCGAATAAAGTGCGAAGAATACATCCCACGTAAAATATCTTTAGTTCGGTTTGAATTCAAATTGAACTGATCATTTCAACACTACACAAAGTAAGACCAGACTACACTTATCACCTATAACAATGAACTCGGGTCTGACATAAGGTGAATGTAATTGTCGTACAGTAAAGAGATCATGATTTCAATTTCTTTATTTCCAAATGCAAAAGATAGCATATAGGAGTTACAATATACATGTATATACAAGTAAATATTACAATCCATTTATGTAAGATTGCGGAGAACATAGAGTAAAATAAAAGATGACAACATAGCAATGTTGACAACATACGAAAGAAAATATATAATCATTGTCAGTGGCACAAAGCTGGAACATTTAGAAGAAGCCTGAATTAGATACTTACTAAGGTTTCTCAATTGTTTTACGGTGTCTGGTCAGTGTGATTATGTATTACACCTGTAATTGACCGGTATGCCGTGTATTTTAAATGTTTGCTTCTATTGGCGATGACGATTTGACATTTGTGTGGAAATAAAAAAGATGTACGTGTCTAGTTTTTGTATTGATATAACCAATATTTCTTACAGATCAAAATTCCTTTTTCGACATTTAATGTCTGTTTGAAAAAAAACCCAGCAGGAACACACAGATGAAATAAACTAGGATATATGTATGAAACCACCAATACTAATTAAGTGTCCGTGGACTAATACGAGAACAGAAACAGACATCGGGATGTGTAAAGGTTATACCGCCATAACGGGCAGAAAAGGTCAACTAAACAGCCCCGAAGCCGAAATTCGATCCAACCCAGTTCAAATATACAACTGATGTTTGGTATATACTGTCTGAGAACCATGGAATCGCTTAATATCGATTTCCGTTAAACGGTTCCGCACATTCCCGACTTCCCAAGTACGTGATAGACAGAACCAGACCCCCTGTTAACGAATGGTCCACCAACCTCATTCAAATTGGACACCGGGATTGGCAATATTAAATCGTCACAAGTGTGTTATCTTCAGCATACGTTCATTGAACAGCTAGAATGTTGAGACAAATCGTGTACCATGAGGTATCTTTTCATGAGACATTAAAAAAAAAATCAAAATTCGAAACAATTTACTAAATAATAAAGTGAAAAAAAATTGAGGAATATAATATCAATGAAGTAATGTTGTAATTCTAATTGCAATTTAAAGTTTCAGAAACATATTCACTTCAAGAATCAATGAGCAAATGGAAATGTTGAATAACAAGTATCATGGAGTGACTTATTAATGCTATATTGCTTTACCTTGGTACATTAAAATCAGCTTAAATCGTAATAAGGTTATGACCTGAAACTGAAGTACTTATGATAAACAATGGGCAACCTTTATACATCTGGAGGGAAGCGTAGATTCTTATGTCTTGCGCAAGCGAGAAAGAAAACATTTGGATGTGCAGCTGAACAACTGCTTCCATACCTGTAACAGGTGAGGTATGCTACAGGTAATACGTACGTCCATAAAAGTGCCCAGGTAAGCGATACCTGTACAGGTGAGTGCTATCTATTGGGAGACCCTTTAACAGTTAGTATAAACAGCGAACAGTGCGATACCTACATGGAGGTCTCACCTGTTCAATCTTATCTCACATATAGTTATATAAAATGATGACAACTCCTTCATAATACAAAATATGGAAGAAATATAAATAATGAATACATACCTGCTGCGAATTTAGGTGTAAAATCCTTATTTTCCACAATGTAATCCAATCCAAGCGAGCTATCCATAACGGTTTTCACGCACTCTACACACCCAACCTGAAGTACGGCATCCAAAAAACTATTTGGCCTTTGTTTAGAAATTTGTTCCAAACTTTCGAACAATAATTCCAATCCATCGCTATGGAGAAATCGAAGAATCCATTCCGGATTCGCCTTGGCTTTTAGAAGCTTCCGTTTAAGTGTTGTGTATGTTTGAACTGAAGGCGAGCGTAGAAGCTCTACCACCCGTTCTGGTTGGATGGCGGTCTCTCCACTATGATCAGTCGTACTATCTGTACTCTGGCTATAGTGAGGTGACCAGCCAATCGACGCACGCCTTACAGCGTAGGCCCAGCGCTTTGTACCTTTCCTTGGAACATTGGACTTGTGCTCGGATTTGGGATTGTAGAAGTCAACCTCACTATCCGATACAGACTCCTCCATGATGGGAAGATTAACAGGTGCCTCTGGAAAACACGGAAAATAGCATTTTATTTCAATTTGTTAAAGTAATATATCTGATATGGACAGTGGTGTTTACACATAGCAGATTGGAACTATATTTAGCTGTAAGACATTTTTGGACGTTTGAATTAAAATATACGTTTTAAACAAGAAGTATGGATTATGCTTTTGTTGATAAATTTAAAACTATATTCAAGTCAGTCGAAGTTTATTTATATGATATTTATGCTCTACATATTACTGAAAAATATCGATCATTGATTGGTATTACTGATTGTTTATACTTGAAAAAGTCTGACACTGTCAGAACTTGTGCAACTAGGCACTGTTTAAATGTTCGCCATTCGTGACTCGGTGATAGTAATATCCTAGATCTTTCAAAGGGATATCTTATCTTGATCTTTTGAGATTTATTTTCTCATTGAATACATGATAATGTAATGACGTAGCCATATCATAAATCTATACCTATATGAAGGAAGCTATATTTCAGTTTTTCACATTTTTTTTTTTGTCGATAACAAACGAAAGTTGTCGCTACAAGCTTGAGCAGTGATGAACGCCGCTGATCCTGTTGCCTTGTTGTGGAGACAACCAGAGCATAACTATCATTGTGGTGTCATCGGATAGACAGATCGACAGCTCATTTTCAAACATAACGAAACACACAACCATTCAAACATGCATTTATATTTGAAGTATTTGTTTAATACAGGCAGATACTATTTGATATAAGAGTATTGTATGTTCTTTTGTTTAGGATTGGTACCGTGCTACTTCGTAACACCGGTATGTGGGGTCACCAGTTTCATTTGTAACAGGACATCAATCGTTATCACAATACGTATGATATGTCCGTTTGGATATAAAGTTATGAAGTCATTCTATATCATATTTCATAAAGAAATTTGCCAGGTAATGATGGTCGACAGTTTGTACTGAATTCCCTATCTGATGAATCCATAGCGATGGTGGCGAGGATAACAGTCGAGAAAGAATTCTACTGAAGGTCTTGTAACATGCAGTATTTGTTTTTAGTTTTGACGAAGAAGCTGTCATAAGGCTTGAGATGAAATTGATTTTATTTTTAAAAACTAAATGTCACCTCTCTTCAGCCCAGACACCAATAAATACCATAGCAGCCTTTCTCATACCACCTTCCCTCCCCCAATGACACATTCTACGAGTCCTATTTGACGCCATTGCTCTAGAATCTTGGTATATAATTCCGAGGTCAGATTCGTCACCACACTTTTCTCAACTTTGATTATATACTGTCCCTGTTAACCTTTACATCAAAAGTCGAATTAGACGAATTGATTAAATTACAAGGATCAATAATTGAAATCGCTTCGATCAATCACCGATACCTTTTACGTGAATTCGGACAGTTATTGACATTATACATTCAAAATAACAACGTCTTTTTTTTACCGCTTTTACATAACTCTACAATAATGAAGGCTTTTATGAGTTTCCTCGGCGTTAGGGCTATGTACAAGCCTTGTATTGTACTTAAACAGTGTATGTGCGTTAGGTGATTGGGCCGTGATCGATGTCAAAAATTACGTTATCGGCGACAAATTAGTCAACGCAACAACAGGCAGTTAGGCAAAGCGTGACTTATAGTGATAAATGACGTCTGACGTTCAACTACCGTAGTTATTATATAAAGTACACTAAAGGCGTACGACAGGTACCGTAGTTATGTATATAAAGTACACTAAAAGGCTTACGAGAACTACCATAGTTATGTATATAAAGTACACTTAAGGGCTTACGACAACTACCGTAGTTATGTATATAAATTACACTTAAAGGCTTACGACAGCTACCGTAGTTATGTAATTTAAGTACATTTAAGGACTTACGACAACTACCGTTGTTATGTATATAAAGTACACTAAAATGCTTTCGACGTACCGTAGTAACGTATATAATATACAATAAAAGCTTACGACAGCTAACGTAGTTATGTATATATAGTACACTAAAAGGCTTACGAGAACTACCGTAGTTATGTATATAAAGTACACTTAAGGGCTTACGACAACTACAGTAGTTACGTATATAAATTACACTGACCGGCTTACAACTACTACCGTAGTTATGCATATAAAGTACACTAAAAGGCTTACGAGAACTACCGTAGTTATGTATATAAAGTACACTTAAAGCTTACAACAATTACCGTAGTTATGTATATAAATTACACTGAAAAGGTTACAACTGCTACCGTAGTTATGTATAAAAAAAATACACTTAAAGGCTTACGACAACTACCGTAGTTATGTATATAAAGTACACTTAAGGGCTTACAACTACCGAAGTTATGTATATAAAGTACACTTAAAGACTTACGACAACTACCGTCGTTATGTATATAAAGTACACTTAAAGACTTACGACAACTACCATAGCTATGTATATAAAATACACTGAAAGGCTTACAACTATCGTAGTTATGTATATAACGTACACTAAAGAGCTTATGACAACCACCGTAGTTATGTATATAAAGATCACCAAAAGACTATAGTAGTTATCAAATCTACTGCGGTATTCCAACAGAACACTAATACTTACGGCAGCTGCCACAGGGACTTGAGAATTTGTTACAGTTATATTTGAACCTAAACTAAGGTGTTCAGAGTAAATTTACACGTGTAAAATTACTCTGAACACCTTAGTTTAGGTCCAAACATCGATGTAACAAATTCTCAAGTCCCTGTGGCAGCTACCATAAATATGTTCGTAAGGTCCAAATCAGGATTATTGGGGTCTTGGAACCTGTACTAAACGGCATTGATATTAATATCAATTGGGATTAACAAAAAACTTATCATTCTACTCCTCCATAACGTAAATCTATTTGGCTATGGTACAAGAGGAAAAGATCAAACGTTCATTTTGATAAAATTGATATTTTACTTCATGTACATTCTGCTACCACTTCCTGAAACATGACGACCGACTACCGTACCTAAACCTATGCTACCGTACTAAAACCTATACACTCGCTGTTATTGTAAATTTTGATGTTAAAGAGATTATTTTGTAGATTTTGTTGAAATAGTGATCCTATTATCTAGTATACCCTTTTATAGGTGATCGGGCGGGTCCTAACGACAACCGAAACTCTTTCCGACAGATGAAAGGTTAACTGGTGCACTGACAGGCTATGACCTCGTCAAGGTCATGCAACACAACTGTCTTTGCAGTCAAGGTAAGTGCACATAGGTAACCCGTGCACGTCCTGTCAAGATAGATATGTTACACAATTAACACGTACTAACGGAGTACATGACTACCCGAAATTCCCACAATGCCCTGCAACAATGACCGATTGTCAAGCATGCCATATGACCACATTGATAATATCAAACAAGTGTTCGACAAAGAAGTAAAATGAGTTTTCATCCTTGCGTTCTAAAACGACATAATATTTCTTTTCGTTAGCACCAGTTGAAATCAAGATGATATCATTTAGTACGCGATACCAGGCGCATTGATGATATGATGCGTACGTCGAACTTCTCTCTCGCTAAAAGGAGATTAATCATCATAATTAAACCTCCCCAAACCTAAATTTAGCATATATACATAGGCTAAATAAGTACACCAAGTCTAATGAATGATCTATCATTTGCAAATGGTTTCAGTTTATGATACCAAATTGGGGATTTTGATGCATTCTGAATCATCCATATCCAGACAATTATAGGCTTTAATGCATTCGGTGCACGTATTGTATAAAGGCACATTTTGTAGGAATGGATTACCGCATGCCATGCATCAGAAATGCATGAACAGCATTAACAATATGATAAGATTTTAAGGTAAACCGTTGCAACATTCACTTCAAACATCCTATCTGGTAGAGGTTGTTGGCGTTTTAATCAGGTTATATATAATACGCTAAACACATACTGTCTAATACTAATATCAACCTGTGTTAGACGATTGAGTCCCGGATCACAGCGACCCCTCTGATATACTATAATAATGGCTGCAACCAAATCTCGTTAAAACGTTAATGTTGATCAGCTTAGGTAGGAATGTCGATCCTATGAAAAACACATGTATCTGTAATAGACTTTCTAGGTCACTAGCTTCATGTGCATGTATGTATACGTAATGGCTGTATATATACTTATAGACAACCTGTTCTAACTATAATACACCTCATAACTCAGATCACAATCCCGTCAACCACATAAAAGGTACAAATATACAGGTATTTCTACTTTTGAATATACACACCTAATTTCCCCTTTTATTACAAGCATGCCAAAATATCTGAACTATTCAAACTCGATTAGTTCTAATACACGGATTTTTAATACCTTGTTTATAGAACACTGATAAACTCGCTTTAATACCCGAGAATAAGGAGTACGTTTTAGGAATTTGGAAACAATTTATCGGATCATCGAACCCGGATATGCGTTTGGCGAGCTATCAATTTCATAGACACGCTTTGGAACTCTTCAACGTCAAATACACGTGTCTGAAACGTTCAGAATAGCGCGAGATAGGGCAAACCGACGGAGGGCGATAGGGGTCGGGAGTGAAATTTCGATTTCTTATCTTGACATTTTTAATCCAATCCGTTCGATATTATTCTATAACGAGCCTGCAGGCAATAGGCGAAGGCCAGTGCTGTAGAAAAATTGCTGTACAAGAAATTCTTCGACGTTTTGTGAGAAAAATATTTTTGTATTAACTCCAGAGTTAAGCTAGCCACTCTGGTCACTAATTCTAATATTCTAATATCGCGAAATTCTATTCTGCCACAAAAAAATTATGGACATCATCTATACATCATCATTGCTGATGTTGTGTCTTTTCGCGATTTAACATTTGTGCGAATCCATCGATAGATACATTCGTTCATGTACAGTATCCCATGTTGGTCCCTCCACAGCGGTGCTACTCCCATCAATATGCCATATTTTTGGCGTTGAGTTATACGTTGCATTTACAGCAACACGAAATGTTT